GGTACTCTCAAATCATTGAAAATTTTTATTTTATTTTATTTTATTTTTGAGTTGGAGTCTCACTCTGTCACCCAGACTGGAGTGCAGTGGCCACTCCCAGCCACCGCAGCCTCGACCTGCTGGGCTCCGGCGATCCTTTCGCCTCAGCATTCCAAGTAGCTGGAACTACAGGCGTGCACTACCACACCCGGCTAATTTTTGATTTATTGTGGAGATGAGGTCTCACTAAGTTGCCCAGGCGGGTCTTGAACCTGCGGGCTCAGGCAATTCACTTACCTCAGCCTCCGAGGGCGCGGGATTACAGGTTGAGCCACTGAACCCGGCTGAACATTTTTATTTTTTTATGTCTGTTAATGTAACACACACTCAGAGTTTACAAATCTCTAATAAAGACTTGCAACAAAACACATGCCCACTTTACCTTAACTCTGACTCCCCAGAAGCCACCACTTAAATAATGCATTCCATCATTAATTCTAGATTTCACTTCCTATTGATAAAGGACATGCTTATGCTGCTACTTTTTTCATTTTAGACATTATCAAGTGATTTCATACTGTGGAGTTTGAATGTTCAGTTATTTTTACCGTCCCCTCCCAGTGGTCCCCTCATTTTGGCTATGTAAAACTTTTAGTTATTAACATACATTATGTACATGATTATAGCTATAAATATCATAAATATAATATAGAGATTATGTAAGAAATATTATATAATTTCTTTCTCATATACCTTAATTTTCTTCTGAAATTAATGAATACTTTTGTTATTCATTTCCCAATAAGGTGACTTTTGGGCAAACACCTGAAAGAAGAGTAAGGACTACAAAGTTCATAATTTCGTCCTTGTTTATGACTGATTATAGTCCATCATGTATATGTACCACGTTATTTTTATCCAGTTCACTTTTGATGGGCAGCATGTTTGGTTTCATAGTTTTGCTATTGTGAGTAGTGCCACAATAAACATGCATGTGAAGGTATCTTTTTCATAGAGTGATTTGAGTTCCTTCTGGTATATTCCCAGCAGGGGAATTGTGGGGTTTTACAAAAGGTCAATTTTTCATACTCAGTGATCTATCACAGAAACAAAGATCTGAGTACCACATGTTCTCACCCATAAGTGAACTCTGAACATCTACTATAATACTACAAGAAAAGGATTGGCAGTAGTGGGACGCTACTAGGGGAGGGAAGGAGGAGGTGGAGGGGGGGCACATAACATCAATAAGGGTGCCTGATCCTAATACAGGTGAAGTGAGGTCCAATGGGAGGCCCAAACTTCACCTGTATGTAAACCACTTATGTACTCAATCCTGACTTGTACCCCACATTTTCAAAATTAAAAAAATAAAAAAAGAAGAAGAGCAAGGAACCATGGGTATATCTGGGGGACAATTGTTAGGTCAAAGGTCCTGGAGTGGAACTGTGCTTGGAGTGTTTGAGACACAGCAAGAAGATCAGGGTAGGCAGAGCAGAATGGCAAGAGGAAGAGTCGTAATTGATATAGCAGAGGAGGCGGCACAAGCAAAAATATGGAGGGTCTTATAGGCCACGATGACATGCTTAGATTTTATTCTGAATGTGATGAGAAGCCCATGGAAGATTCTGAATAGAGAGATGACATGGTCAAACTTCTGTTTTAGAAAAGATTACTAAGACTGCTATAATTGCAAAGACAGTGTTGGAGTAAGAGTGGAAGCAGAAAGACCAGCTGAGAGGCTATTGCAATAGTCCAAGGAAGAGAAAATGGCAGCTTGGACCTGAGTGGTAGCAATGGAAAAGATAAAAAACATTTTAATTCTGAAATATTACATTTTGAAAAGTAGTCGCCAATATATTAGAAGTGAGTGTGAAATAAAGAGTCTGCTAATTCCTATTTACCCCTATCTAGGTAATAGGGAAGGATAAAGAACTTCAGTGACTTGTACCAAGCTACACATCTAGTTAGAGGAAAGCACCTATCATATTTCCTGTCACATAGTAGGTACTCATTAAAAGTAAGTTTCATGGGCAACCCCCTTGGGTTCCCTCCCACTGTGGAAGCTTTTCTGTCCTCTCAATAAATCCTGCTTAAAAAAAAAGAAAAGAACTTTCACTATCTCTGTGACAATGGTATCTAGACTTCAAACCCAATGCTATTTTCAAAATCCTATCCCATCACTTCATGCGTTACATATTATATGTTTATTTCTTCAATTAATCAATTGGTTGAACCAACCAGCCAACAAATTAACCAAAAGTATTTAGGAATGTTCATTTTGTTTCTAATTTTGTAGAAACAGAATTGATTATTCTGGTTATAAAAACATCAACACAATAATTATTCACTAAATGCCTACTATTCAGTAGCTACTTTTCACACACTATTTCATTTTATCCCCATAACAACATAATGGGGACTATATTACTATTACTTCCATTTTTCAGATGAGGAAACAGACTCAGAGTAAACAACATCATTCCCACAGGCACACAGTTAGTAAGCAGCACAGCCACTATTTGAACTCAGGTCATTTTAGGAAATATAAAGTCTGTGACAAAAGATCTTATGATGGGCATTAGTCTTCTTGGCAAGAAATGATCAATGAACAAGACATGAAAGGTGTCTAAATAAAGTGGTTTCATCTTTTGTGTGCTGGAACTCAGAAATAAACGAGATTAATCTGGAATGTAAGTTTGGTTTGGAGTATGGGTGGAATTTAGAGGGAATTAAATGAAAGGAGAGTAAACCCTAAATGATGAAGGGGCTGGATACAGTCTAATCAAAGGTCTGCATGTAGAACTGAGTGTGGCTGTGAGGGACAGGGAGAAGCCTTGCTTGGCCGTCTTGAAAGGTTTAGGCTCCATGGTGGTGGCATGACTGGGTCAACCTCCAATCTTGGCCTACCTAACAATATAGAAAACTTCCAAAGGAGAAAATTTGTGTTTTCTTTTTTTCTTTTCTTTCCTTCCTCCCTTCCTCCCTCCCTCTCTCTTTCTTTCTTTTCTTTCTCCCTTTCCTTCCTTCCTTCTTTCTTTTTTTTCTTTTTTGAGTCAGAGTCTTACTCTGTCACCCAGTTCGGAATGCAATGGCACAATCATGGTTACTGCATCCTCAACCTGCTGGGCTCAGGTGGTCCTTCCACCTCAACCTTCCAAGTAGCTGGAACTACTTGGCACATAAACGTGCCACTATGCCTGGCTATTTTTTCGATTTATTGTAGAGATAAGGTCTTGCCATGTTGTCCAGGCTTGTCTCGAACTCCTATAGTCAGGTAATCCTCTCCTATGGCCTCTCAATGTACTAGAATTACAGGTGTGAGCCATCATGCTCAGTCTAAATTTTGTTTTTTTTTAATGAGGTAGAGGCCCATTTAAGGGCTTTACTGGACCGGAACACCCTTACTTTTAGGGGTTCCCCTACACCATCTCATAAAAATACTAAAATTCATTCACATCTCACATTAATATAATTTTTACATTGGCATACATAATAGGATTTTACCATGTACCTAGCTTAATCTCAATTTTACTGAGGCCTTAAGCCAATAGATGCTACCTTCCAAAGTGAGATGTGAGGTGGCTGTGCAGAACTAATTAAATAAGTTTCCGGAAGGCTAGTTTTTCTTGACTCCTAAATCCTTCACTCTTGTTGAGGATAAAAATGAGTCAGGAAGTTGGGGATTAAGACAGAACTTTTAGTGAAAATTGTTGGTGGGTCTTACCCCTTCTGCTTTTAAGGGAGGACATGGGGCAGCTTCCCTTTTCTCACCTAGAAGGAGGGACTTTACGGAGACTACTCAGCGAGCTTAATATATTTCCTCTGCAGTTTGAGTGATGCAGTGGACTCAGGTTTAACTTATTCCCCAGAAATATTGAGTGTGTGAGAATAGCTGGCTAGCCCCCAGACAGTGGCGCTAGGGAGATTGTGCTGCACTGGGTGGCCAACACTCCAAGAATTTGCCAGGGGAAAGGAGATACAGGTGTTTCCAGTGAGATACAGGTGTTTCCAGATGAGCTACTTGCATGGTTGATCTGCCATAGGCTGTCTTAGATCTGCCCAAGTGCTTCATTTGAAGGAGGCAAGGGAACTGCTAGACTCTTAGAGGAAGGAGAAGAAAGAAATCTGTAGGGGCAAAGTCCCCAATGACTGGTGGAGGGTCTCCAGAAAACCTGTGTGAGTATCGCAATAGAAGAAAAAGACCAACTTTGGGTTCATTTCTGATGCTAACTCATAATGACATGAATTGGACTGCCCCTTTGTCTCTCAACCAAGGTTATCCAAATAAGAAAGAATGTTAATTGTGAAAAATGAGAAAAGAAAGAAGTAGCAAGCCACATGGCCTCCCTCTTTCTTCCAGAGTAAATTTAAAGGGGTCCAGAATAAAATTGCCTAATGAATACATTTGAAAAATTGTGCTTGTTTGGACACATGTTGCTATGTACACGATTTGAATTTAATTGACAGAGTTACGTTGTTTTCACTTAATTGAACATTTACTAATTTTTATCTCGTAGAATAAAAAAAAATTTTGGAGTCAACATTTTATTTTAGTCTCATATCTTACACACTTAATATAAAGGCCTTAAACCGCTCGTGTGTCCAATAGAATCTAACGGTCAAAATGACCTGGGTGACCACAGCAGGAAGATCTCTGCTGATGTGAGTTCAAGATAAAGATGTGAGTTACAGTCCTGGCTCTAATATTTAAGTCCGTGACTCTGAGCAAGTCTGTCCTCCTCTTTGGGCCTTAGTTTTCTCATTTGTGAAGTGAGGTTGTTGAATCACTTAGTTCTAAGATCCACACTTCTCTGGGATTGCATTGGTAGCTCATGGAACCTAATATGTAGTCGTTAGAAAAATGTTTGTTTGTTTAATGAATAAACCAGTGACAGTTAGAGTCAGCCCTATGCCGTTCCAGCTTTGCCCTTGTGTCACTTGGGAACACCAGGGTACCGGCTGGTTTCCGGGTTTGTCTGTCCCTGAGGATAAGCAGGTAAAGAAGACATTGCTCCTACCTTGTTGAGGGTGTTGAGGGCTGCCTGAGCTGCTGTGAGTGCTGGCTCAGCTTTAGCCAGGTCTTCCTCACAGTCCTTCTGCTTCTGTTTCACCTCTAGCATGATGAGGGCCACCTTCTTCTCCTCCTCATCTGCCACAGCTTTCTCTCTGCTCACTTTGTCAGTTTCCACGCCCACCACCTGAATCAGTTTGTCTGCGTCTTCATTCTTCTGCTTCAGCTCTACTTCTTGGGTAGCCAGCTTGGCTTTCAAATCATCTACCTGCATCAGAGAAGCATTTATCAGGAGTAGTGACCAGAGAGACCGCGGGCATGGCTCTGAGAACCCAACTATGCAGAGCAGCACCGATGCCAACTCCTGATGCAAAGGGGATAGAACTGTGCTCTCAGATGAGACCGAACTCTCTGGCTGAGGAAGGGAAGGAAAGTTCGAAATCCTCTCCCTTCCATAGTACACGTGCCGGAATATTCTAAACAACATGTGTCTCAACTTTCTCCTTGATGCCCAAATGACTTACGCAGCTTCCCATTGACTTTGGTACCTGGGTCTTATAAAACTTCTAGTGCCTAATATAATACTTTTTCACATAATAGGCCTTTAATAAAGATCAGTCATTGTTGAACTAAGATTGGTTAACGTGGAGTCTGCTCATGCGTCCAATAGAACCTAACGGCCAAAATGACCTGAGTGACCATAGCAGGAAGATCTCTGCTGATGTGAGTTCAAGATGGACAATGGCCAGAGCATATATTAAAATAGAACTGTCCCACAATCTGCAGCAACCTGTCCAGGAAACATACCTATTATCTATAATAACCAGCCCAGGAAGCCAGTCTGCTAAGTTAGACTTGTAGGCTATCTCTAATATTAATTCAGGAAGATAAAAATAACCCCTATGGCAAATGGCCTCAAATGGCCAGAACTAGATTTATAACAGACAACTTTCTTAATTTTTACCCCTGCTTCCAACCTCGGGTCAATCAGAGAAAGCCAAACATGCTCCCCTAACCAATCACATAGGACACCAACTTTTTTTTCTTTCTTTCTTTTTTTTTTTTTGAGTTGGAGTCTCTCTGCCAGGCTGGATGGCAGTGGCACGCTCCTGGCTAACACAGCCTCGACCTGCTGGGCTCAGGCGATCCTTCCCCTACCAGCCTTCCAAGTAGCTGGAACTACAGGCATGTGCCACCATGCCCGGCTAATTTTTTGATTTATTGTAGAGATGAGGTCTCGCCAAGTTGCCCAGGCTGGTCTCGAACCCGCGGGCTCAGGCAGTCCCTTCACCTCGGCCTCCCAATGTGCTGGGATTATAGGCGAGAGCCACTGCGCCCGGCCTGGACACCTACTTTCAGCAAGATATCCTACTCTTTCCCCATGCCAACAGTCTCCACTCAGGACACACCAGAAACCTTTTCCTTTTTCACTATGAAGCTTTCCCTCTTTGTCTGCCTGGTTTTGAGTATCTGCTAAACATAAGTGATGATGGCTGACTCTCTTACAAACTCTGAATAGTCTTTTATTGTTCTACCTGGGCTGGTCTTCATTTATTTAAACAATCCTTATTAGAAACAGATGACCAGATGAAAGTGGGACAGCAAGAATTCTAGTGGCCCAGGTCAGCTGAATTCCCCATCCAGCCTCTCAAGTCATATGTCATCTAGAGGGGGTAATGAAGTGATTGGGGGTATCAGCACATGGAAAACTATTTGTCTCATGAACTGGGGAGAAAGCAATGGTTTTCTACCTACATTCAGATTGGCAGAGTGTAGTGGTTCTCAGAATGTGCTCCTTGTTCCCAGAACCAGCATATCATGTCACTTAGGCACATGTTAGCAATGCAGACTCCCAGACCCTATTCCAGATATACTGCATCAGAAATTTTGGATGTAATAACTGCGGTTCTGATGCCCATGTAGGGTTGAGCATTGCTGGCCTAGTGTGATGGGTTTTTCAGATGCAAAGGGAATACACAGACCCATTTATTTCTGAAGAGTAAAAAAGCCATTTGTATTTGCAATATGGCCCATAAACTTTACATTCCAGAATGACCTCTTGCTTCTCATTTTTCTGCAGTCTCTTTCACGCAAAAACCAAAGGTTACTTCAGAGCTCCTGGAACACGTCAAACAGATTCAAATGCTTTATGATGCAAAATGCACAAGGGGAAAAATAAAACTGAGGCTTAGATGCTGCTGATAATTCCCTTTTCATGGCAGATCAAAAGAAAAGAAAAGGAAAGGGAAAAAAGAGAATGCTCTTTAATTTTGTGTATTCATAGAAATGAGAGACTTTGTGTTAACCTCAAATGGAGGCCTGCTCCCTAGAACTCGTCTTATATTCACAAGTTGGAAGGTTAATCCGTTTCCATCTCCCGTTGTTCAGCTGCAGAGAGTTATTTCTACAGGGACAAAGATGCAATTGTAAATCAAAATGATTGAGCTGCATAATCACTCCAGTCAGCAAACACACCAGTAACTTTTTGTTCCTTTTCAAATCTTGGGAGATTTGAGAAAATTGAAGTGGGTTTTTTTTGGTTGTTGTTGGTGTTTTGTTTTGTTGATTGCAGATATGGCTTATGACCTAAAGTTCAAGGTAAATAATCACCCGTACTGTGAATAGGAACATTCTAACTCTTAAGCTACGACAGAGTGATGGGAGGGTCTCACCAGTTGGAATTAGGCTGTACCACACCAAACTACATAGAAGGTATAATTCAAGTTCATTTTTATGATTCTTCTACAATAGGACGGGAAATTTAAATAGATTATTTTAAATCTTTCTCTTCTTCTTTCTTTAAAATATTTGAGCCCCACTTTGAATTTCTTTTTGTTTAGACCCCCCCCAAACCTAGATAGGAAGATTTAGAAGGAACGTGTCACAAACACAGAAGAGATTCTTTTCCTCAGTCTGTTGGCTCCTGAATCATGACCATGGTGGTAAATGGGGTACCTACTGACTGGGGTGACAATACAGTGGTGCTAGGTGGCCCTCCCTTCATCAAGGACCAAGCATACGATATTAAATAGAGCAGGCAGGGTTCCTATGACTTTTCCCTAGAACTCCAGAGATTTTAGGAATGAAGCTGAGGAAGAATTAGAACTGAGAAGTACTGTTTTCTGGGACAAATGTCACGTGTTTTCCCTGCATTGCCTATGAGAATTATTTTTCTGCAGGCAGTTCTAGGTTTTGGGGTAAAGATGTAATCGCATCACCAGCGGCCAGGGATGGAGAAGAAGTCCAAGGTGATCAGCAGCAATACTCTTTTGAGGATAGGAGGCTGTCATAGTTCGGATATTTGATCCTCTCAATCTCATGTAGAAATTCGATCCTTAATGGTTGGAAGTGGGGACTAATGGCAGCTGTTTGGGTCATGGGGACAGATCCCTCATGAATAGATTAATGCCCTTCCTGGGGGAGGGGGTGGGTTATGTGTATTTGTGAGTTCTTGCTATATTTGTTCCCATAGCCTGGTATTTCTCTTCCCTCTCTCTTGCCTTCTCTCTCATCATCTGATCTCTGCATACACCAGTTCCCTTTTCCTTCCGCCATAACTGGAAGAAGCCTGAGGCCCTCCCAGAAGCAGATGCTGGTGTCATGCTTCTTGTACAGCCTGTGGAACCATAAGCCAAAATAAATCTCTTTTCTATAAAAATTACCCAGCTAAGGTATTCCTATTTAGGAACACAAATGAACTAAGACAGAGGCCCAGAGATATCTTCCTGCTTATTCTGTGCCCATGTAAACACACAACACTTTCTGGTATGAATTTGGATTTCAAGGATCTTTTCTCTTAGGGATGGATGTCTCCTATCTGTATCTGTTATGTTTGCCTGCCTAATAAAAAACTTTTCACCCTTATTCTGGTAACATAGTTGGAGTTTCCTTTGAAGAATTCCCTCTTCCAGTTTGTCATTGGATCCTAGCTTTGCTAATGAGAGTATCTATATTATAGAGATTGTCCAACTATGGCCAAATCAAGATGTACAGAGTATCAAGTGAGTATCTAGCTTCAGCCCTGTCCAATTAAGCTCTCTAGCTGATTTTCAGTTATATGAACCAATTCGTTTCTTTTTATTTTATTTTGTTGTTTTGCCTAATTCAACTTCAGTTGGATTTTGTTCAGTTGTCATCAAAAGGGTCCTGATAAGTGTATCGCATGACCTCAAGGTATTCTCTGTCCTCTCTTTTTTTCCCTTCCCATGTTTTCCTGTTTTCCATTCCTTTCTTTCATTTTTGTTTTCTTCTTCTTGATGGATGAATTTGAGTTAGATTTTCATCACTTGCAACCAAAAGATTCCTGACTAATACATCAACAAAAATTATTAAACTGTCAACTTCAGGTAAGTTTGATGGCCTAAGACTATTTGAGAACTCCAAGATAAACTGAATTTAAAAGTTTACAGATTGATAGATTTGTGGATTAAATCCCATATCTAGGGAATTGGCAATGACCTTTAGGCCTTTTATGAATGATTCTTCAATCCAACAGCCTCCTCTTCTTCCTGAATATACTTGATTTATATACAGAAGTGGGGAAGACAGTGACTTCTGAATAGTACCAGTGAAGGACAAGTGAGATCCAAGTCAGGGATGGGGGCCCTGATGATGCCAAGAGAAAGGACACAATTGCACTAACTGTGAAGACTTCAGCTGATGCTGACACAAAGATAGAAAAACCACCTAAAGACTTAGTAAAACCAGCCATGTGTCATCAGAACCAATGAGAACTGGAGGACCACAACAAGAATGCTTCATCAGCTGCCTCCCATAACCTGACACCACCACACAGAGGAGGAAAAGACCTTTCAAAAGGAAACAGCCCTGAGGGAGAGACTGAATTCTGAATTGAAGTGACAAAGTCATGCTGAAATGTAAGATTAAGAATTTTCTTCTCTTAAATGGATAAGATGGATCCAGAACTATGTTGAATTCAGTCACAGAAAAATAAAGTTACATTTCTGATTAGTCTTAAGTATGAAATTATGAGTCTAAAATTTATAACTTTAGATTATCATATAATTATTAATTTTTGTCATTATTATGATTATCAGTATGAAACCCAATTTCCCCACAGAAATGATATTTAAGCATTTTTTGAATAAGCATAGAAATTGACCCTCTGTCATTGTTAAAACTTTGAAACTTCTATTTGTGTTCTCTGAGTTCCTTTAGAAGGAAACCAGTCCTCAGGCAAGTCTAAAACTGGATAACAGCACCTGGACAATATGACACCAGACCCCTCATTCATCATGACTGCTTCCT